TGAAATTAAATGGGGCCATTTCAAAATAGATCCTGAAATGCCACTCCAGAAGTCCCTTGCATGTTTTGCGTCTTGAAAGTTTGAACTGTTTGGACTGTGGCAGACCTTGAAATTGGGCTAACACCAAGATTGTCTTACAAGCAATTTTTGGTAAAGCCATCAGAAGAGCAGACATTCTGACCACCAGGACTGATGATTATGGACTCTCTATCTGAAGATAGAACCAGTAGCCGATCCTATAAAGTTCAAGAGTAACCCAGCTTCACAGTAGCAATAGGAATTCTTTCTTCTTTTTCTTGTAATTATTCCTTTCCTCATAAAAGCTCCCTTCCTTCATACTGTAATCAGCACACTACTCTATCTGAATCTATGTTCCTCAAATTACTGTTCTTTGATCCCAAATACAGGTTGTGGCTACAGTTGTTTATATGGAAAAAATACTGCAATAATTATAAAATAATAGTACAAGAATGAACTGTGTTTTGTGTACTCACAACTGTAAACCTACTTTTTTCCCCACCCTTAAAACATTATTGCCTCTCATTTTGGCTTTTGAATTTTAAGTTAACATTCTAATCTAACCCTTCTTTGATTCAAATATATAAAATAAATTGCAAGACTGTCATTCTCAAAAGCTTTTTTCATTCCATTGAGCTTTTTGTTTCCCTGCAATTGTTGTCAGTTTGGCTCAAATAAATTTATAAAAATTATCTACACATTTGGATGTTGCTTACATCAATAATACACTATTAGGACTTTGGTTCTTTACAGAACATCTGTATTACTAGTAAAACACTAATAAAAAGTTGTGAAGGGATTGCAGTTGAAGGGGTTCAGAACAAGCCTCCCCAAGGTGTGCTACTTTGGCATGTGCATTATTTTGAGCTGAAGGCAATCCAGACCCTGTGGGCTCATGAGAAACTTTTATCTCCCCTAAAGTCATTTAAATTTGGGCCTTGTCCATAATGAGAGTTAGATTTGGGCCAGGTAAAACTTTTGAAGACCTATGTATATGATAGGGCAACCATATTAACTCTTCATCTGCTGGCTTTATTGCCCTGTGAAAGACCTTCCTCTCCTCTGAAGCCCCGAGTCCCTTACCTCATCCTTAGCTCTGAATACCATATATACCTCATTTTAACTTTCTGTCTCTGAACCTATTGAGGAGATAGAGGGAAGCTAGGTAGTCAGGAATGGGGACCCTGTGGGGGACGAGGGAGTAAAACTTGGGAACCCAGTAAGGTGAAATTACTAAGACAACCCAGCTGGGCATGGAAAGAAGGGCACACACGAGAAAAACTTTAAAAGACAAACTTTAAAATGTATGGATTATTGCTAAAACAGGCAGATTGCAGATAACCAATCACAAAGCAATAGGCATATAAAGCAATCCCAAGGATGTTGCTAAGGCAGAATTCTTTGAAAGAACCAATCAGGAGCTAGCAAGACTGCATCCACCCCCTAAGTCAGTGGTTCTATACATTTGGTCGCAACCCCTTTAGGGGTCGAACAACCCTTTCACAGGGGTCGCCTAAGACCATCGGAAAACACATATATAATTACATATTGTTTTTGTGATTAATCACTATGCTTTAATTGTGTTCAACTTGTAACAATGGAATTGGGGGTCACCACAACATGAGGAACTGTATTAAAGGGTTGCCGCATTAGGAAGGTTGAGAACCACTGCTTTAAATTAAAAAGTGCCCACTTCTTCTCATGGGCTCTCTCTCCTCCTCCCTACACTCAATGGATTCCTGACATTCCTGTGGCAAGGGATAACATCCCTTGCGCTCATGTGGCTTGTGGCCATGTGGGACTCTACACATGGACTAATAGCCGTTAACACCCGACTATAACATGGAACGGAAGATCTGGACACTGTCCTGCTCCTGGAACCCCAGCTGCACCTTTCCCAGGACTGGCTGCTGTCAATAAACTTTGCCTCTGTTAACTGTTTTTGTCCATGACTTTGTTCCTTATTTCTTGAGACAGTGAACTCAACTCAAATCTCACATTTTTGTTTCACTATCATGTATGTGGGGGTCTCTGACTCTCATGTATTTGGAGGTCCCATGTGTACCTGTTATTTCATTTGGTCACTTCTTCTTATTAATCGTTTACATTGATTTTATTATTAGACCAGCCCAAAAAACCTAGAAGGGTAGAGGAAAATTTCTTCCTCTCTCACACAATTTTAGTCACCAAGATTATTTTAAAGTGAAGACATTTGAAATATTATTTGAACTTTTCTTATCTGACTAAAGCAGGGAAAAATAGATTCCTTAAGCTACCGTTTTTCATTCTGAGCTAGTTTCCTGCAAATTCCAAGAAGCAGGAAGGAGACAGACTGCCTATCTATTAGTATAAGAAAGCAAAATAACTCTCCATACTTTTCTATTAAAACTCTAAAGTTCCCCTTCATTCATCCCGAACACTTTTACATTTTAAATGAGTATAAAAACCTTTACCTTTGGGCATTCAGCAGGTAAATTATTACTGAGTAACTTTTATGCAAACGTAAATAAGCCTTGTCTTTTCTTGTTAATTTTTTTATTGTCAGTTAAGTCACAGTACCTGTCCCCCTTCAAATGTAAATAGAAAGAGAATGGCATAGGCTGGCTACACTGCATATTTTAATGAATGTGTTCTTTCTCCTCCTTTCTTCTCTACTTCATCCCTTCCTTCTTTTCCTCCTTTATATAAATACTTTTAATATTCTTGAGGACTCAGACATCCTCTTTACCATTATACATCTCTAATAGGAAACACAATGACCTAATCACTTTACTGAAACTTTTCATAAAAATAAAAAATGGACTTGGCTGGTGTGGCTAGGTTGGTTGGAGCATCCTCCTATGCAAGGGTCAAGGGGTCACAAGTTCAATTCCTGGTCAGGGTAAGGTTGGTAACCAATCCATGTTTCTCTCTTCCTCTCCCTTTCTCTCTCAAATCAATAAAGAAGATATTTTTTTAAAAAATGTTTAAAATTAAAATAAAAGTAAAAAATGAACTCTGGCTTGCTCAACAAAGAGATATCTTGGATGCATGGGAGGTGGGGGGTGGAGGGAATATTGGAAATTAAATATTGTAAATTGGAAGAAGAGCATTGGTCTCCCTAGCTCACAATTATTCCCTTTCTGCAGTAACTGAAGCGAACACGACCCTATCCACTCTGATTGGATCAAGTAGCAGAACCATTGATTTTGGCTGTGCAGTCAGAATCCTGCTTTTATAAATATGGAATTGGGGCCAATGGAGAGACTGAAATTTCTTTAGGCAGCTGACCAAATAGCATTTAAGCTTGAGAACTTGGCTTTACATATGTTCTGGAAAAGCAAGAGAAACGTGAAAGGCAATTATATAGAGAGGAAATTCACAATTATTCCCTTTCTGCAGGAACTGAAGCCAACAGGACCCTAGCCACTCTGATTGGATCAAGTAGCAGAACCACTGATTTTGGCTGTGCAGTCAGAATCCTGCTTTTATAAATATGGAATTGGGTCCAATGGAGAGACTGGAATTTCTTTAGGTAGTTGGCCAAATAGCATTTAAGCTTGAGAGCTTGGCTTTACATATGTTCTGGAAAAGCATGAGAAACGTGAAAGGCAATTATATAGAGAGGAAATGAGGTGAGAGGCATACAGAAATTTTAGACTGCTTGTTTATCTGTATATTATCAAATTTTTTGCTGAACTCCTACTCTTAAATTCTGTAATAAATCCCTCTATTCTTTGAAAATACTTATTTAGTTTTTAATATGCTAAAAATTTACTATACTTGCCATTATTTTATAGTAGGAAAATAAGGTGTCTTAGGCTGAGCTATGTGAAGAGAGGTCTTCAACACAATAGCTAAACAAATGTTAACAAGACATTTCTAGTTGTTTTCTTCATACTTCATTTCAGGGCAAAATACTACCTAATAATGCTGCACTTAATGATTTTCACTAGTGGACTCAAGGCTGTGCAGCCTATCCCAGCTTTATGTAGATTTTTGTGTTTATTTTTCCCGAGTTGGAATTAATGTCAGCTGCATGATATGTTTCTCTGATTCTGAAAAACATAGGTGAAAAAATTACTCAGGACAGGATTATAAGAAACACCATGCAGAGTTTTCTATAGAAGATAAGAAATATGAAAACAAAAAGCAGCTGATTTGTGACATAGTGCTATGAAGTAGGCCAGATTGGTAAAAATTACAATTATACCAGAAACAACCCCAGAGGACTGTTGTTGAAGCTCTTCCGCAAGCACCTTATGTGAAGCAGTTAAGAATACATTGCTATTCATAGATTATAAGAAACATCATGCAGAGTTTTCTATAGAAGATAAGAAATCAGAAAGGATATATGCACCCCTATGTTCATAGCAGCACAATTCACCATAGCTAAGATCTAGAAACAGCCTAAGTGAGGGGAATAGGGGAGGCTAGGGTACTGTCTAGGGCGGGGAAAAAAATGGACACATATGTAATACCCTTTGTAATAAAAAATAAAATTTAAAAAAAAAAAGAAGTATGAAAACAAAAAGCTGCTGATTTGTGACATAGTGCTATGAAGTAGGCCGGATTGGTAAAAATTACAATTATACCAGAAACAACCCCAGAGGACTGTTGTTGAAGCTCTTCCGCAAGCACCTTATGTGAAGCAGTTAAGAATACATTGCTATTCATAAAACATAAAAATTCACTCTTTATATAATGATTCCTTGCTTTATTATCATTGCTTCTGAAGCCTGAACTCTTTGCTTTGGTTTTTGTTTATGTCTAACTTTTTTGAAGCTAGAAATCGCTCATCTTAATATCATAAATTGGTAAACAAATTCTCTTGTTTATCAAATTGGTAAATGCCATTTTGGGCTGTCCATTTTTCTTAAATTTTTGGATTTTACACATCTTTGAATTTTACATAAATAATTGAACTCAAAAGTCATTGGTATATTCTGAACAATTACTTTTTGCTCAAATGAGTCAGAGAATTGAATAATAGCTTCTCCCTGGAGCCAGAAGTCTTGAGTTTAATCCTGCTCTTCCATTTAGTAGTTTTATAGTCAGAGGCAAGTTATTTGACCAGTCCCATTGCACAACTAAGGATATTTATATCTATAGTGGTCCTCACTTAGCCATGGTTTTGCTTTCTGTGCTTTTAACATCATAATTAGCTAGTTAATATTAATTATAGGAAGAGAGTAAAGGGGAAGCCCAACATTATAAGCATGGTCACCTGGGCAGCTTCACCAGAAGGCTACAGCTTCACACTCCCCAGGACACCACCCATCCATTCCCTGCAGATCACAGGGGAAGGGGTAAAACAAAAGGGGAGATGGGCACCTGCGCAGGGAAGTTGGGATGATGTAGGGAAGGTGCTTGCCTGCCACTCTAGCCTGGGGAACAATGGCTTGGGTAGGGGGTGGACCCCATCAAAAGTGCACAAAATCTTGAAAAGTTAAAATCCACAGAGAAATGAGCTTTCTCTCTCGTGTGCAACTTGTTCCCTCTTGCTCTCTTGCTCTGTCACCTCATGTGCCCATTTGTTTGCATACCCATGTGGCCTTAAGCAGCTGCATGGCCCATGGCAGTGCGGACCCCCTCACACAGTGGACTGCAGCTGGGAGTACAGACTAAGTTAGCCAGATACTGGACTGGACTGGATGTTAACATGAAACAGAAAGTATGGGCAAGTCCTTAATTCTGGCCCTGTTGATGATAAGACTGGACTTCCATGGCAAGATAGACAAAGAAGGGAACTCCTTAATTTTACATCATCAATAAAGCTTTCCACAAGAGAAAATTTATTTGACTATAGACAACAAAAATAATGCCAGAAGTTGAGTAATGATCCAATTTGTCATAAACTTATACTTTTCATTGTACTAAAGCTTACAGAACATTTTATATGCCAAGTTATTCAGTTTAGTAATCTTAAATAGACAAATTTATGCAGGTATAGAAATTTCAAATTTTAACAACACTTACTTTTTTACTTTGTTACAAAAGGAGGCCAGAGTCATATTACTGCCTTCAGGAACTTCAATTAGCTGAATGGAACAACCTATCAACTTAAAATAAAAATTGTTAAATTTATATAGTTTGGTGTGGGGAAAAGATTAATTCAATTCTACCTTTTTTGTCTTGTTTTAAAGATTTCTACTGTTTTACTTTTTATTTTTAGATTTTTTAAATGAAGTAATACATATAGAAAATTGCACAAATCTTAACTATATAATTTAAGTTCTGAGGGATGTATTTAACTGTAACATCAATATTCCAATCAATATATAGAACATTTCCATTACTTCAGAAAGTTTCCCCAGATCTCTTTCTGGCAATCTGGACATCTATTTGGAAACTATAGTTATTCAGATTTCTATTACCACTGATTAGGTGTATGTGTTCTTTTGTTTCTGGCTTCTTTCAATTAAATGACATATCTTTTTAAATGTATCTATATTGTCTCACATATCAATAGTTCATCTTTTTTATTGTTGACTAGAGGCCCAATGCACGAAAGTCGTGCAAGAGTAGGCCTTCCTTCCCCTGGCTGACGGCACTGGCTTCCCTCTGGCTGCCAGCAGGCACCAGGGACTGGCCTTCCCTTTCAGCTCCGGCTTTGTCCGGAAGGTCATCTGAATGAATGACTGGTCTAATTAGCATATTATGCTTTTATTATTATAGATTAGTGGCATACTAGTGCATGAATATTCCACGGTTTGTTTATCTATCTTTCAGTTGATGGACATTTGGGTTAAGTTTTTGAGTATTGTAAAAAAACCTTAATTTTTATATGCAAATATTTATATGGTCATGTTTCATTCCTTGTGAATCAAGTTATAAATGGCTCAGTCTTAGGGTGGGCATACTATTAACGTTAAAAGAAATCCTTTTTGCCTTATGTGTTTTGAATCTCTTGTCAGGTACATATACATCTAAATGTATTATGTCTTCCTGATTGACCCTGCTATCATTCCTTTTATCATTATGAAATGAACTTTTGTTTTCTCCAATAATGCTTTGCATTGCTTTGTACTTTTTCTGATATTAATAACCATACCGCCGAAACCGGTTTGGCTCAGTGGATAGAGCGTCGGCTTGCGGACTGAAGGGTCCCAGGTTTGATTCTGGTCAAGGGCATGTACCTGGGTTGCGGGCACATCCCCAGTGGGGAGTGTGCAAGGAGGCAGCTGATCGATGTTTCTAACTCTCTATCTCTCTCCCTTCCTCTCTGTAAAAAATCAATCAAATATATTTTAAAAAAAATAACCATACCAACTTTCTTTTGCTGTTTGAGTGTTGTCTTTTTATTTCTTTTACTTTCAACCTATCTCTACCTTTATTTCTTAAGATTGTCTCTTGTAGACAGTAGTAAAGTCTTTTTTACCTAGTTTGTCAAGTTTCTCCCTTTTATTTGGAATGCTTAGCCTATTCATACTTAGTATATCTATGGATATTTTTGTATTTAAGACTCCCATGCTGATATTTGTTATTCTGTTTTATTTTGTTTTTCTATTTCTTCTTCCCTGCCTTTTTGATCATTCAACATTTTCCCTTTTGTCAAGTATTGATGTCCTATACTGCCTGTTGTTCAATACCTAAAATTCAAAGAGTTTGTCTAACTTCACAGCTGCTTTTGGTGGTAAGGGAAAGCTGAGTACTTGGTACATTGCCATGATCAATAGTAGAAATTCCTAAAATTCATTGGCTTTCAATTTAGATTAGTTGAGGGGCTACCTCCTTTGCAAGTGCTTTGGACCCAATTAGTTGTTACTTCTCCAATGAACTCATCCTCTTATTTTGCTCTCTTAACTTTATTTGTTTGCAAGCTAATTTGAGTTATATGCCACTCCTGAAATCAGGTGTCCTGTATTTCCTTCTTTGAATTTTCTAGTTTATCATGTATATTTTAAGAATATAAGAAATAGTTGCTGAATAAATGAAGAATCCTTTTGTCTCAGTCTTTGAATAACAGTTGCAATAACATTTATTCTTCATACTTTGCTTCACTTGTGTCTAGACTCAGTATAAGCAGAGGAATGTTCAAATATTGTGTGAGAAACTCTATAGTTACTAAAATGATTGGAAAACTACTAATGAAACCATTAGGATGGATTGCACAATTATTATTTAATTTCCTATTCTTGGAATGATCCCAATAGAATTTGCCTGCCAACAGCATAATTGAGGAGCCTCTGAGTAAAGGGACATTTCTCCTAAGAATAATAATCTAAAGTTTTAATTCATGATAGTGTGACTCAGAATATAAATGTAATGAAATTTATGTGTGTTTCTCTGTGCATAATAACACGATAAAATAGAAGACACTATCATTGAAACCTCCAACTGTGGTATTTTTATCTAATAAAATGTAAATACTATAATATTTTATTTAGATTTGATGAAACGAACTTTCAAAATTATATTATAAAAATTATATTGCCCTTTCCAGAAAAAAATAATTAAGAAACACAGGATTAGTGGATAATAAATGCTTTTTCTTTCAACTGTAATATAATACATTTATTTATTTAAGGTAGTTACCCTCATTACTAAATTAAACCAGCATATTATTAAATGATTTATTTTCATATTTTTAGGTCAACATATATAACACATACCTCTATGTCCTTTGGCCATGAACTTTCACACATCCTGGGTAGTAAAGAACCTTTAAAGAGCATTGAAGAAGGTTCCACGGTGTTTGCATTTCTATCCCTTTTATTCTCTTCTTTTGGCATAAAGTCAGTTGAGAAGGATGGATATATAGAGGGAATGCTCCTTTCAAATCCTATATGGTAGTTACGATTTTTATTTTCCAGTTCTGTTTGTGAATTAATTTGATCCAAACTAGCTGATGATGGGGCTGAAATATTAAATCCGTATACATCAGCACCATGATGTTTTCCTGTGGGGTTCCTCCCAGAGATTTCTTTATTTATGCTTTGAGGATTTGGTAGCGCAGAAGGCCTAAAACCAATTACTGGTGTTTTTCTAACTTGGTGACAGGAGAGTTCTGAGCTTTCAGAATTGAATTCATTTAAGGATATTTGCAGTGCTTCATCTAATGAATGCTTTGGTGAACTGGGCTCAGAAACGGTGTTCTCTTCAATTTCACTCTGATAGAATGGGATTTTATTATTGATTTCATCTACTAGCTGATCAAAACCTAGACTGAGTTGGCTAGAAGAAGGGGGTTGATTTACAGAGTGCAATTCCTGGTGCTCAGGCTGCTCTTCATGTGGCTCACTGGGGTTTAGATCTGTTTTCCAACAATATGCCATTCTTTACTGTATAAAACTGAGAGGGTTGACTCTGCTCCAAGCAACTCTGTAATGAGATTTTAAAAATATAGGAATGTTCCTAGAAAAACACAAAGGGAAACAAAACGTTCTTTGATTAATTAGTAATAAAAGCTTGCAAGAAAAAAATAGGATGAACAAATATAAACAATTATTTTAAAATTTCTCTTTAGTGCCCTCACAGGTTTGGCTCAGTGGATAGAGTGTCAGCCTTGCAGACTGAAGGGTCCTGGGTTCGATTCCAGTCAAGGTCATGTGCTGAGGTTGCGGGCTCCATCCCCAGTGCGGTCATGCAGGAGGCATCCAATCTCTCATCATTGATGCTTCTACCTCTCCCTCTCCTTTCTCCTCTGAAATCAATAAAATATATTTAAAAAAATTTCTCTTTAGCAAAATAAATAATTCCTTGAGTAATATAAAATGCCATCAAGGCTCACAACATTAAAATCTGAGGGGGTGTATTGATTCATAAAACTCCTATGACAGTGAAATAATTTCCATTATGACAGGAGATTCATGAATCAATCTAAAGTCCATATTCCCCTTGGGTTCCTTTTGCTACTGAAGATCCACTTGCCTATATCATCATTATTTCCCTCTGTCTTCAATCATCTATATGCGTGTTAACATGCTAAAGGTTCTTTATTACTAGCTAAACAATGTCTTCTTTATCAGCAATCACTCAACCTTGTAAATATGGTCTTAACTTTTTCCTTTCCACCATATCAAATCTTATTGTCAGTTGGTTAGACCCTTTCTTCTCCTCCCAAAATTCTTTTAGGTAATTGCAAATTCTTATATCACTTCTACAAAATGACTTCCATTAAGTTCATCAGTAAGCTTCATGTTAGTAAATTCAACTACCATTTATTAGTCTCTATTTCATTTATCTCTGCAATATTTAATTCCTTGCTTTCTTTTTTTTTAATATATTTTTTATTGATTAAGAAATTACATATGTGTCCTTGTCCCCACGTTACCCTCTACCCCCCCCGCTCTTGCCCTCCCCCCCCGTTGTCCGGGTCCCTTGGTTAGGCCTCTATGCCTGCATGTAAGTTCTTTGGTTGCTCTTTCCCCCTTACCCCCCCCCTCCCCTACCCTCCCTCAGTCCCTGTTTTCAAAGTATTTCTG